GAATTTTTAAATTATTCCAATTAATAAAGAAATGGCAGCGTTTTTAAAGTTTTGATTTATGTACAGTTTTTGCCAAAATTGCCAAAATTTTAAAAATTCAAAACGCTGCCATTTCTCTAATAAGTGAAATAATTTAAAAATTCTTTCAGTGATATTATTTGTACAGATGGTAAAATAATTTATAAATTGTCTACTATTTGCACATACTGTAATACTATTTTAAAGTTTCCAAAAATTTATAAAATATTTATTTTCATCATAATTATAATCAATATTACATTAAAAATGTCTTAATATTGAAGATTTTGATATTAATATAATATTAGGAAAAAGTATTTTTAATTAAACATTATATAATTTTTTTTATAAATACAAAAATAAATACAGTATAGTCATTTTTTAATACTTGTCATGAATATTTTGTATTTTTTAATTTCTAAGAATTTTATTTAAAAAATATTTATTATTACAATTACAAAACATGATAATTAATCCTCTACTATAAGATAAATATAATTAAACATTTTGCATTTTTTGATAAACTTAAATATTATTTTAATATTATAATTGAAACATGGACAAAATTAAATAAATCTCATTTCTATTTATTAGATTTAAAAAATATATTATATTAATTTAAGAAATCAAGATAAATTTGGTGTGTGAAGTAACACACTAATTAACTGTCCCAGATAAACTAATCAAACACTTGACACAAAGATAATATTACAAACAATTATAACAAAATAAAATAGACTTAAAATCTCCACGTTGTAATAAACTAACACATTTAATACAACTTAATTAACAATAATGTATAAACTATTTATTTTAATTACATTATCATGTTCAATTTATTTGAGCAATGGCGAGTGGGTACTGGAGTGGCAGGATGAGTTTGATGGTAATACCGTAAACCTGGATAACTGGGCGTATTCCGATATGTGCGAGGGCAAAACTCCATCTCAACGTATGTTTAATTTTAAAATCAACATTTTAAACCAAAACCTTATGCTATAAACAATCATTACTAATTTTGTGCTAGATTCATTAAGTATTTTTTAAGAAATTTTTTTTATAAATATATGCGTATCATTAAATTGAATTTATAATACATTAATTAGCATGGGGTAACCATGAACTCCAGTGTTACGCCAATGACAAAAATAACGTGCGCGTGGAAAAGGGTAACCTCGTACTGACGGCTACGCCACTGAACACCCCTCAACGGGAGCACAACTATACGTCAGGTAAACTGATTGGCAAAAAGGGGTTTACTTACGGCAAGTTTGAGATGAGGGGTCGGGTGCCCAAAGGCAAACACCTGTGGCCGGCCTTCTGGATGCTGCCCAAGGACTTCGTGTACGGCTCGACGTTTGCCGCCTCCG